GTGAGTCTCAATTCTAGTTTTCTAAGATGGTCAATAGGAACTCCTAGAGCTAGATCCTAAGACCCTAGAAAAGGAAATGACCTAAAAAATGAGGTCAACATTGAGCTTCAACAAAAACCATTGATGCAATAGCTTCCTTGCTTAGGATTCACATGTTTGACTTCAAGTCTTGACGTTTGGATTGGACAGCTTCAAGCTTTAAACTGTTATCAACATTGCCAGGGGTTTCCCTAACTTCCTGCTGCTGTCCTGAGACTTCAATTGCCTGATAAGATTAAATCCTATTTTACAGGCCATAAATCATGACAAGTGATTACACCATAAGAGGGCGTGTTTTGCAAAAATAAGATGTTTAACTTATGCACCATGCAATGATTGCCTAATGTCGTTTTAACCGTTATTTGATGATTAAAATATATCTACAAAATGTGGGCATCAATCTTTCCCGTAGCAGTATATAGAAATAGAGATTAGTGTCAAAATAGTCCCCCACACTTTATAGAGAGTCATTTTATTATCAGAGTTTATAAGAGTGTCAATTTAGTCCCTAAACTGTTTTAATAAGGGCTAAAATAGTCATTCATGTTGTCTATTTTAACCTATACTAAAATATTATTGGGACTAATTTTACACTTAAGTTTTATAGACTCCGGGAATTTAAGTAGTCATGGGACTATTTGAAATTTTGCTCTATAAAAATACAACCGCCTATACTTAATAACCTGTAAATTTTGCTCAATTTAAAACTTACATTGGACCAAAAGTGATCCCAAAAAATATAAACAAGAGTCAAACCAAAATGTCAGTTATTGACATCCAATAAATCTATGCATAGTAATTTTTTTTGTTTTTGATTCATTTTAAAAGCTAGGAGTTGTCGGCTTGTCTATTTATATATATATATATATATATATCGCATATGATTTCTCCTTTCCAAATAAATTTCTCTCCTGGATCATCAAAAATGATACTGAGAAGGAAATAATCGGAAAAATGAGAACATACGATGAAAATAAACAAACAGATTAAAAATAAACATGAAGAGTTTATGTAAGATAATCCTCGTGTGATAGGTTGAAAGTATAAGTCCAACAGAATTGGATCGAAATACCTCAAAACACAATATCTACGAAGAGGATCCCTACATAAGAACCCATCACCAGAGAGCCAAAAAGAACAATTTTGTTCTAGGGTCAAGAACAACTTTCAAACGAACGTATCTCTTTGATTAATTATAATTGGGGGATACTCAATAATACTTTTGATAATAGATGTCCTTACATTATCATGATAAAACTAGTGGATAAGTCACTAAAAAGATGTTTATCTCAAATGGGAAACATCCGTCATTTATTAGTGTAGCTGAGAATGCGAGAGAGTCCTCATAAGTCACTGTGAATGAGTGAAAAAGGAGTAGAAGTCTTGTAGGAGTGACGTGGATATGGAACCCGATGATGTTTAGCTAATTAAAAAATCTCACATTTGAAGCTAGCAAGATTTTTATTATTAAACATCGACGAATACAATTGTTTTAAATATTAAAAATTAGGATGACCAAAATGACAATATAACAACATAAAAAAACATTCAATAGATCTTGAAAAATTGCAGCTACTGGAAGACATGTCCACATTCTCCGTGTCTCTCTTAGAAGAAGTAAAGTTTGGTTACCCTATTAGCAATTTCAATCATTCTCCCTGAACGAAGATCCTGTAAGACACAAACATGAGGAGAAAAATGAGCAATACGACCACTGTCATTTGTCAACTTATTGATAGATAAAATGTTACACTTCAAGATGTATCTAGCTTTTAATACAACCGATCATTTACCAGCATTGAAATTACAGGAGTCATCAACATTTTTAACTGTATCTTTCCTGAAGAATGGATAATGTGTTGAGAAAGTTTGAGAACATCCAATCATGTGTTCTGTGACACTTAAATCAATTATCCATGGATTAGAAGAGACAAAAGACTTGAGCGCTGATGCGGTGTTTATGTGTATGCGTTGTAAATATTTTTCAATATTACAATACACACACGAT